GCAGAAAACTCACATGAGTTTGGTTATCATGAATCCGAAAGAAACACCCAACACAATTGTAGTCCTGAATCTAATCACTCAGAATAAGGTGGTGATTTGCAAAAAAAGACCTCTCTTGACAAAAAAATTAAAACTTTTTAAGTGTTTCATAACGATTATAATAATATGTTGCCAATGCACTTTAGGCTACTGGCAATGCAGCAACCCTTCAATATGATGGCACCTCATCCAATACAGAGTACCTACCACTGAAAGAGATAAACGTTCACAGCATTAAAAAGATCAAATTTAAAAGATCTTAACTTCACTAGTGTTTCGCATAGATTCCAATTTGACTTTACACGTCTTTGGAGCCAATATGAACTTGTATGGTAAAAGACACAAACAAGTAAATAGCCGATCATACAACATTTTCCAGGGCTGAGAAACTAATTTGCTACACCATAAATATTTCCCGCCTGACTAGCTAATAACAGCAGAGAGAGAGAGAACTGTTGAAAAGAGTAAGATAGCGAGCAGTGGCTAACGGATTGGCGCTAACTTGTAATAGGTGATCCATATAGAGGTACTCTTTTCAATAGCCTTTTTTTGGCAGATCATGCGCAGTCGAGTTAAGCTGTCATGTTATTTTGGTTAAGTATTGTTTTGCATTTCATCATGGAAAGACTTACTGGCTGAACAACGTTTACAAATCGTTCAACTTTTTTACGAAAATTCACATTCTGTAAAGAATGTGTTTCGCGCCCTTCTCCCAATTTATGCTGAACACAATCGGCCTACTGATCGTTCTACTATCACCCATCTTGAGACCCAGCATTCATATTTGGATAACATTCGGCCGAATGAACCACATTCAGCACGCAATGCCGAAAATATACCTGCCGTAGCTGAGATGGTACACGACGACAGTAGATAGACGACTCAGCACCGTTCGCAGCAACTCGGACTAACGTATGGCACAATTTGACCGTTCAATCTTCTCAAACGACATTGCTTCGCTCTATAGGCTCTTGAAAAGTTCCAAGAAGATCTGACGTTTTTGAGCCAAATTTTGTTCAGCAATGAGTCCTATTTCTGACTCAATGGGTATGTAAACAAGCAAAATTATCGAGTTTCGGACGAAGAGCTACCTGATGAAATTCAAGGGCGGCCTTTTCTTCCAGAAAAACCAAGGTTTTGGAGTTGTTTGTGGGCCGGTAAAATCATCGGTCCATATGTTTTTCCACAATGATGCCGGTGAGAAAGTAACCGTCAATGGCGACCGTTATCGCATCATGACAACCGACTATTTAATGCCTGAAATTGAAGCTCACGATGTCGGCGACACTTCCCACACATCGCATCAATCAATGGATTAATTGTGAGAACACTTTGGTGAGCAGATAATTTCACGTTTTGGCGCGGTCGATTGGCCACCAAGATCGTGTGATATCACACCGTTCGAATAAAGTCTCATGTAAGGTCTACCGCTTTGATAAGGGCTTAAAGCAAAACATCACGCGTGCCATTCGCCAATTATCAGTCGAAAAGCTCGAACGAGTCATCGAAAATTGGACTCAACGGATAGACCCTCTGAGATGTAGCCGTGGCCAAAAGTGGAGAGAGATAATCTTTCAACAATAATAGCCAAAGAATATTCTTTCGACTGATAATAAACATTCCCCATTAAATTTGAAGTTTCTGTATATTTTCTTTAAAACTGTAGGGAACCTCAAAATGTATTGCCCTATATAATGTAGACGGAACTTCATTCGGAAAACTGCAAAAAGTAGGAAAGAAGAATTAAGGTGCACGAATACATAATCGGCCAAGATCTGTAACACTGTAATCTTTTCGCTTTTCCAATTCTTCACATACTGAAAAGTTTTCTTTAATCTATTACACCATTGAAAGTTATACAAAAAGTTACTTCGCAAATTATTTTCTCATTGATTTCGCCACATTTCCAGCAAAGCAAGCAGATTATTGTAGAAGAAAATAAAACTCAAATCTCTGTATACGTGCCTGACCTTTTGGGAACGAATGCATTTAGTCTAGCTGCATTCAGAAAAAAGACAAATAAAAAAGTTACGAGTATTGACTAAACGCAATAGAAAATACGGTGCATCTTATAGATTGAGACTTGCCAAATCATCAAGTAATGTATCACAGAAGAGTCCGTATAAGTCAGTTTAGTATTCAACTTTTTCTGAGGCTTTCAAAAATCATTTGAAAACGGCAGAACTGCAGAATGAAAACACCTCAAACTTAAATGATTTTTTTTTTTTTTTTTTGTTTTGTTACACACCAGGCAATTACATTTTATTCTGCTTAGTGTTCGCTTTTCGCTGTTAAGCGTTTCATAATTCCTTGCAACTGCACACCCACACACAATTTCTCGCTTACAACATTTTATTAGCAGCATGTAATCAGAGTGTGCGAACTCTTCAAATTGCAATCAACTTTTGCAACATGTTCATTACTGGCGAATATATCAACTTTTCACCACCACACCAGCACACACTTGGCCGCAGCGGCAGCGGCAAGGGCATAAATATGAGCGCCAACATATGCAGGCAGCTACTGTTGCACTTGCACACTCGCATACACAGCCATTTTATATGGACGAACGCAGAAGACCAGCTCGAACGGCTTGAGTGCACACTTGAATTTTCTCGTTATAAGCGCCGCCCAGCGTCCGTCCGTCCGTCCGTCCGTGCGCTCCTAATGCACAATTCTGCCAATTACGCGTAAAGTATTACAGTTAGTTGAGGCGTGGCGGCGTGGCGGCATGGGGCGAGCCGGTGGCAAGTTAAGTGTTTGCTGGATGCGTTGATGGTGTTTCATTCGATGATAATGCTGGCACATTAAGTACATTTTCTGCAATATGTGAGAGTGCGAATACGAGCCCCGATCCAGCTGTTTGCGGTTGGGTCATGCGGCGACAGCGAGTTGTGCAGCGGCAAGCAAGCGGCGTGGTGAACTTGTTGCTTACGAAAGTGCCTAGCACACTGCCATTGTTGTTGTCTATGTTATTATTGTTATTGTTGTTGTTGTTGTGGCGTCGTTGTGGCATATGAAAATGCATGCAACACAATTTAAAGCATCATTTAACTTTCTACGGATATTCTCACACATTCTACATACAACAAACTCGTTATGGGTGTGTGTGTTTATAGGCATGTTTGCAAAGGATCTTAGAAAGTCCCCTGAGACACACACACACACACACACATCTTCGACACCTTTAAGCAGCACTTCAAATACTAGATATTCACATATCAGTGAGTCTGCCTAACATACATACATACATACATATGTATTTATAATCGTTGAAGCCATCATATGCCGTAAACCTTGACCCCCTTTTGGGATTACAATGAGCCAATTAAAATCCCGTGCAATTAAAGTGGCTTGAATTGTGCCAGCTTCAGGTTTTGTCATAAATTAATAGGTTAATTACCGTTAATGATGATATTAAAGGGCTTAGCAGCAAGATCTAACGCTGAGAAAATGTCTAACGAAGGATGTGCAAGCGCCTTAGCACACTTTCCTCAATCAAATCAAAAGAATATTACTATTATTGTTAGGATTTTTGCAACACACAGGGTGATTCATACAAAATATTTTTTATTTTTTTTACTCATGCTACAGAGTATGATAGTTCTGTTCACCTAACGGTCATCTATAATTAATCGAGACAGATATAGAGAATCTAAAGTTAGACATAAGTGATACGGTTAAAGAGACGATTTGAAATCCGTTTGACTGTCTGTCTGTCCGTCCGTCCGTGTAAGCTGTAACTTGAGTAAAAATTAAGAGCTATTTCGGCGGGGTCAGACCAGACCAGGAGAGTGGTGTCATGTGAGATGTCATGTATGCTGGACAGATATTTGATATGTTGGGATGGATTCTGAATAAGTAGGAGTTTAGCCTGCTACAGCCTACTGAACGAAACTGCGTTGTGATCTATCTAGATACTCGCGGCAACTCGTGCTCGTCGTCTGCATTGGGTTTTGAGAGGAAGTCGGTGAAGTTGTTTATGGCGCCAATGTGAATAACGGTCAGTGCATATCTGAAGTTTCTGCGAAAATATCCCAGCAGAAACTGCTTAGGGAGGAGTTCGTTATGTTCCATAATCGTAAGCCTCACTGTCTATTTGTTCGATCGGGAATATCTAGATGCATCCCGTTATAGTCCAGAGTTCAGTGTTCTGATATGCCTGAAGCTTCTAGTGCGTCTTTTATTATTAGTAAGTAGTTGAGATCCGCCGCCGATGTTGCCAACAACGTTTATTTGTTGTTTTTTTTTTCCAATGGGCGGCCGGCTAGCGACTTGTAGATTTTGTTGCGGCTCTTTACTTTGGCAGTTATCGCGGTCAAATCTGGAGTGAAGGAGAACGGAATGTCTAATGTCACACCCAAGGAGGATACCACCCTGTCAAACCCCCTGTTTAATTCTTCTCAAATTGAAATTTTTACCCCGAAACAGAACGGATAATGGCCGACCGCTCAGGTAGTTCACAGTCCATTCAAACCTAGAAGGAGCGTGGATTGTTTGATGTCCTCAAGTAGCGTTGACTGTGTCCAAGGCTTTTGACAAGTACAACGATACGAGGATCGCCCTTTCACAAGATCGTTTTTGGTTGATGCCATGAACTATCTGGGGCATAGTTGTCCGATCTTTCTACGGAAATTGTAAGGCTACCTTCGGCAATAATCTGTGCTAAATTTCGTGAAGAAATCTTCTCAAATAAAAAAGTTTTCCATACTACAACTCGGTTTGTATGTGATCATTCAATCCTCATTGCCATTCTTTATATGATGAATCCAGGAATTATCTAACATACAAGTTCTCCACCAGCACTAGCAGAACATTACGATATGATTTCAATCGAAATTTATACCATTTTTTAACACTGCCGTCATTCATGAAACCTTTTAGAACTAAACTACCTTAAACACTACACTACCAAATCACCGTTATTCACCAGTGATTTCAATTAATAAAAACAGCACACATTTAAGTTTTCACCACTTATATTAAAAAATCTGTATTTTTTCTAATGTTTCCACTTTCCTGCTGTACACAAATGTGTACGGACAACAAAATATACGCACAAAGAACAGAATATGTTCCAAGTTTAAAGACGGCGACCACGACGACCTCCCTTTCTGCGTGTGGAATCTGATGGGATTGGTGTAACATCTTCGATGCGTCCAATTTTCATTGAAGAACGAGCCAAAGCACGCAACGCTGACTGGGCACCGGGTCCAGGAGTTTTGGTCTTGTTACCACCGGTAGCACGCAATTTGATGTGCAGAGCAGTGATGCCAAGAGTTTTGCATTTTTCAGCGACATCCTAAAATAAGATTAAGAGATAATTGGTTAGTTTAAGAGCATAAAAACTTTATATACAAATTGTACTTACTTGAGCAGCCAACATAGCAGCGTAAGGTGAAGCTTCATCACGATCAGCCTTCACTTTCATACCACCAGTGACGCGAGCAATGGTTTCACGGCCAGACAAATCCGTAACATGAACGAAGGTATCGTTAAAACTGGCATAGATGTGTGCAACACCGAAAACGTATTCACCATCACGTACTTGTGGGCCCAACGATACTTGGACTTCTTCCTTTTGAGCTTTAGCCTTTCTGGGTGCCATTTTTGTTTGGTAGGATCAACTGTAATTGAAATAACATCGGTTTTCGGTTATTTTTGCCAATCTTTATGTAGAATACACTTTGCTAAGTACAAATTTTTGATGGTGAATTTGTTTATTCAGTGGTAAATGCTATACGCCCGCAATTAGTTGCAAAACACAATTGAGGGTTATATTTATTTGTTAGCATCCATTAATACTGCCAATAAAAAGGCTACATTTTTGGCTTAAAATGCTTAGAAATATATTCTGAATCTTCACACACATAACTTTTGCAAAAAAATTCACCATTTTAAAAAATATTTCATAAAATAATTAAGAGCATAAATAAAACACAGACCAATTGCGTGAACCGGATATTGAAAAAGAAAGTACAGCAGTTTTTAGCTGTCAAAAGTGCCATTAGCTGCACGAACGTCAAAACTGCTGGAAAATCAGTGTTGCAAACTCGATTGCTTTGACTGATTAGCACTTCCGATGAAATTTATAATGTTACTTAATATTTCGGCTCACTGATATATACATATTCAAGGAAGATATTTTTTTAAAAACAAATTAAATAAAGTTTTGATAATTCCATTGCTTTGACTGATTAGCACTTCCGATGAAATTTATAATATTACTTAATATTTCGACTCACTGATATATACATATACAAGGAAGATATTTTTTTAAAAACAAATTAAATAACGTTTTGATAATTCTGCTTAGTCTTTTATTTCGAATACTGGAAGCTCGCTTGTTGTTTCAAGCCTGGAATAAGTTATTGAATACAGACTACTCTAAACGGATTTCATCAAAGTTTTTGAGCAACTTCAAAACTAATATAATATTGTGTTTATCACTCAGCTCTTGTAGAACCTCTTCATTATAACCACGACACGGAGGAAAATTAACAAAAACCAAAGTACTGCCCTCTGTATGGAGATATTTGATTAAAGATACAACCCTGCATTTTAGAATTCGCCGCACTGCCATATATAGCCATCACTTTCATACAGTTTGTTATCAAAAACAATCTTTTTCACTTACACTACCGCAATCAGGTGAGAGGGAGATGATGATTTTCCTTTTCCCAAATGCATCGATAATCCAAGGCCTTGCCACTAGCGCATGTTTTTAGGCCTACAGTAAAGTTTTAAATATTATTTATTGAGCGACTGTCTGTTTAAAGCGGTTATTAATTGTAATAACGCAGATATATATGCTTCATTTAGCATTTTTTTCTTTATTTGACTTTGCTAGAATATATATCACCGATTTAAATTGTAATCAACTAATTTTTATTCGAAAAAATATGTTTAGGAATTTTGGAAGATTTTCGCTGAATTTTCTTCATGCTGGCAGCATCACTGCAGCGTACGAGTGTGTGTGTGCGTTTTGTGTTCCAAAGAAATTCTGTGTGTGAAAATTTGGCGAAGAAAAATTGGGAATTAGATAAAATTATCGCATAGAAAAACTGGAAAATGTGTAGAAAACTATATTAGAAACGGTTTAAATATGAATTTGTTGAAATGATGTGCGAAGCGGTGTTATGAATTGTCAAAAATAGTAAGTGAATGAGTGGTTCGATTCTGCCTTCGATTGTCAGGGGCACTCGTTCATTTTCCTTTCGGCAGTAGAATCGAATAATTTTCTCAACTTAAATTATGTGAAAATTAGCTGAGAACTTAAAAAAGTGTTAAATTTATTTTACAGAAAAGTCATGTGACTTGACAGAAGTAATTCGAAACGTCCAAAAGAATTGTAATCGCCTGAAATTGTATATTATTTTAAAAGACTATTTTCATGAAAAGGGGTAGGGGAATATAGTTAGAAGTGAATGTTCATGCAAAGGAAAGCAAAAGTGGTGGAAGCATAGAAAAAAAGTTGGTGGAAAAAAAGAACTGGTTGCGGAGCGAAGAAAACAAAAGGCGAAGAGCGAGTGGCAACAGTAACAACAATAACAACTGCCAGAACGTAAACAAGAACAAAGTTATGATTAAGGCGAATTAAAGTGTTGGATGACAATTGATAGCAAGAAAGTGGGTAAAAAAGAAACGAAGCAAACATCACACGAATAAGGAGTTGTAAAAGAATTTAAAAAGACGAGCAGCTGGTTGCTCAGCCAATAATGCTGCTGCTGCGCTGCTTTAACTGTGCATAATTTTATTTGTGTTGTGTAGCTGCGCTGCCTTGCGTCATCGTAGACGTCAACGTTGTCGAACTCATCCGTGTACGATTGGTTTGTATTGGGCTATCACGCTTATTCGTAGCATGCAATCCCGTTTGGTCGCTTCTTGATTTGTTTTGCGGTAGTGTTCGTTCGTCTTATTGTCGTCGCAATGTTCCGTGTTTCTCATGTTTTGGTAGGGGGGCAAATGAGAAAAAAATTATTAAATAAAAAGTAAATCAAATATCCCCAACATTCGCGAAAGGCCGCGCAGACATCGAGGACGTGTTTGTATTCATCACAACGGACTCGTTTATGTAGCACATCACATAAGACTTGAAACTTTAGTGTAGAACACTAAATGGACAAAATTTAATTGTCGTGATCGTCATCGTCGTCGAAATCGTACGGGAATATCAGTTGACAAGTAATTAAGAAAAAATACGGGTTGAACACAGTAAACTAACTTGTAATATAATTAATATATATTTAACTGTACATATATAACATATAATCATAAACAGTAACTTATACATAAGTGAAGTTAATTAAAACCATAAATTTATCTGCTAGTGTATTAATTTAGACACATACGCACACACACACACATTGAGACTCACAAATTCTATGAACTCCATACGAAAAGGTTAAATCATCCGTCGCGTCGCGAGTGTAAAACCACATAAATTAAAAGTGTGCTTGTTAATCACGTACACAGCCCGCACAATTTTTGAGAAAATATTCTCAAAGAAAAGTCTGCATAATATCAAAACACTTGGTGTATAAAAATCCAGCATCCTGGCGAACCGCAACGCTAACAACGGAAACGGTGGTGGTAGCGGTGGCGGCGGTAATAACGCTGCTGCTGGCGCCGCTGGTGGTGGTGGTGGTGGTAATGCAGCAGAGGGATCTCGACGTAACGGTGCTGCTGCAGCGGCCAACGTTGCGGGGGGTGCTGGTGAGCAAGGCGCCGCAGCAGGTGCCGGAGCAGCTGAGTGGAATCCAGAAGAAATCGACCGTTTTAGCTTCGACGACTCTGATCGTTTTGAAGAAGATTCACTCTGCAGTTGGAGCTCCGAACCAGAGTCACTATGTAATAACTGGCGCGGTTGGAAGAAACCCTCAAGTTTCGGTTTGACCAACCCAATAACGGCCAGCGCTAGTTCAACGCCTGCCAGCATTGTAGCGCGTAAAGGTGACACTGATGGTGGTAAGTATATAATAACAAAACATATGACATAAAGTATATGTATTTAGTACATGTAGTTGTTAGGTACCTAAATATTTATTTCTGCATGTCAGTTTACTGTTTAATTTGCAGTTACAATTTTTCTTTAACTTCTTTGTAATACTCAGGTGGAACCGACGGAGACCATATAAAACATAAGTGTACAATGTACGCATATAAATGATCATACAAACTGATGGTTCAAAATCAAGTTTTGTTTATGGAAATTATTGTCGAAGACATCTATATAATATCCGAACAAATTCTGCCGATGGGACCGCTATACTATAGCATATATCAGTAATATAACCCGAATAATTAAATATCCTTGTTTGAGAAGTCTTTTGATTTGACAAGTATCTTCACAAAATTTGTGTATGTACAGTTGCGAGCAGTGAAATAGTAGTGGGTGTTAGAGTTTTACATACCTGTGAGTTATGCAAAATTTTAAACAATTTAACATCAGTTGAAATGGAAAAGTTGATCATATTTCCCTGGCTACGTTTATTAATAAAAATATTTTAATTTGAATGGGTGTAAGATATATTTATTCACAAAGTTGTGTTTTTATATGAAATTTGATGGGAGCAGTAAAATAGTAGTAAAGTAATAAATTTTTTTTTTTAAACTGAAGGATTTTTGGAAGTTCCGTCTATACGAGATATTAGTACTTGGTAGCATGGCCATGATTTTTAATAACAGCCGCCTCTTCATAGAATCTACGAGACTCTGGAATCTTTTTAGTGGTATGTTCTGCCATGTTTGCTGCACTACGTCCACAACTCATTGTTGTTTTTGAGTTTGTCATTCCATACGACTTAACGTCCTTTTCAGCGGGATGTTCTCTTCAGCATATGGTATCATAATATACTGCATTATATCCACGAATTTGTGTCGGTCCGTTATGCTAGTAATCTTGTGAATTGGGATTGCACAAAAAAATTGGGCCTGAAAGAAAAACACCCCAAACCATGAAATTCAAACCGCCAAGCTTCATAGTTTTTGTGCGGAATCTGGGGTCGTATTCTCTATTAGGGGAGCGTCTTAGATACTGACGGGACCCTTTACCGCCGTATAGAATAACTTTCGACACGTCTGTCTAAAAGATGTGGCGCCATTTCTCAATCGGCAAATTCTCAATTGATCCTTTGGCAAATTTAATACGACTTGCTATATGATTTTTTTTAATAACGGTACTTATCGAGGACTGCGGACATATAAATTATGTTCATGTAGAAGTCTTCTGTATGAACACCGTAGGCCAGGTTCAGTTCATTCCAAATATCCTTTTTTCGTCTGTTTTTTTTAATAACTAATTGCATTGTAAGTCGTTGTGGCTTAACACCCTACAATTCTTTCCACTCCCTTGCAGGATTTACTGTTATTTATGACAGATTGAAACCGTTCCGTACCCGTTCCCACGACAGTCGGGTCTACGAAAACCGGAACGGACCCGAATTTTTATCCGGCCAAGGACTGTCAACTCGGCAGAATTATGCCGTTACAACAACAACAACAGATTGAATACATTCTCGTTTTTCGTCACTGCAGTGCTTCCCGCGGCCCAAAAAAAAGTGCAAAGTCATATTTTTTTTTTGCTTTTTGCATTGAATAATTAATGAAAGATCTGGAAACTTACTTTTTGTTTGATAAAATTAAATTTTTTTTTATTAAAAATTATCTGTTTGCAATCATCTCCTCGTTCACTACTATTCTATTGCTCGCTCATAAAAACAGATATCCCAATAAAATTGGCTTTAAAAAAGTAACGGTAAGTAATTCAAACTTATTGTTGCATATAACAGGACCGTTATACTTCAGAGAATATAACTAAAATAATGATCGACGGCAATATCATAAAATAAACAAAATTTAAAGCAAAACTCTCTTGGCCAATAGGCACTACTATTTCAATGCTCGCAACTGTAATCTTTTGTGTTTGTGTAGGGTATTATAGCTTCTGTGCAAGCGAAATAAAAGTTTTTTTTGTTTTATTTTAACCACATAATAATTCATAGCGTCTTATCTGAAGAAATGGAGAAAAGGGAAAGGAAAATATAAAAAAAAAGGTTTGAGTCCGGTTGAAACTAAAATTGCTACGTGGAGTAAAAGTTGATCAGTAATATATTAGAAAACCTAAAAATGTATTCCTTTGGAACAATGGAAATCTTAATTTATTTTCCTCCAGTCAAATATACATATACTAACAAATACTAACCTCTTCGTTACATTTACAACAATAACTGCAGTAATAAACAGGAAAAGAATAAACAAACCACCATATGAGAACAATCGAAAATAATAAAAACATATTTTTTTTCTTTTATATTTGAAAGGAAATGTACAAAAGGCAAAAGTAAACGCATGTGCAACTAGCTTGTTGCGCCGAATACAGGCTATCAGTACATTGTACGTGCAAACGCTGTGTCCATGTTTGTCAGTCTATTGCTAATGCAACAGTGCCTACACTATTGCACGTAGCGCTCCGTAGCTAATTCCTGCCTAGTTGCAGTTTTTTCGAGCAATGAATCCATAGAACGCCCGCTGCTCCTGCTCTGCCAAGGCAACAACATGAACAGACACACACTTGTATGTGTATTTCATTTGCAAAGGCAATGACAGTGGACGCAACATACATTCGTATGCGTTCATCCGGTTTATTTTAAATGCACAAATACAATGGTGCTTTGTTGCAGGGCGAATGTTGGTGCAACATTTTGCGTTTGTTTTTTTTTTTTGTTTTTCTAGTTCATTGGCTGCGTTGCTTGCGCGTTCTCGCAGACATTGCAACATTTTTATTTTACCATATAACTTTTGTTGCAATATTGCTTTGAATTGTCTAAAAATAACAAGTTGCACTGAGTTTTTTTTTGTTTTTCATTTTATGTATGTGTTTATTTGTTTTTTTTTTTTTTTATACCAGCTGGCTTCATGTTGCGCTCTAGCCTCCAGTGGCGGCAACCTACTGTTCAATGTGTGTGTTTTGTGCATAGTTTTTCCTTCTTTTGGATTGAAGTCGATGCTGTTTGTATCGCTTTGAAAAATCACGGAATGAAATGCGTAGTACCATATAATCCTCTGTGGCATATGCATATAATGTTTTTTTTTTACGATTTTGCTTCTAATAGGGTAATAAGTACCTTATAGTGCATATGCCACATGTGTTCGCATCTACCTAGCCATCGTTCCTATAACCTCGAGCATTTTATGTTTTTTTTTACTTGTCCATTCGTTGCATGTGGTGTTTCATTGTAAGCCTCTGTGTCTGTGGCTGAGTTTGTGTAAGTTGAATTGCCTGTGTTCGACATCACCTGTGTCTTGTCCTGTTGCTGGTTTCGACGTATTACCTTCTCTAAACGCTGATGTTTGTACAGTGACGATAGAAATAATAGCCCTGTGTCAAATAATACTGATTCAAAATAAAATGAAACATAAAAATACATATGTTTAACTGTTTAGAATATAATAGTCAAATTATTGGCGCAATATTAGATTGAAAACATGGGAAAAATAATTTTAGGAATATTGTTTACCAAAAGTTTCAATTATTACCAACTTTTGACCATCCGGTTTTTCGACAAGCGGTTCAAAACAATGGGTAGAACCACCATGTACCATATGGCCGGTCTTAGAGAGTTAGTCCAAAACTGTTTGGAAAATGTTTTATTCTGATACAATAATCTCTTGAAGCTTGGTCTAATGATGTTCAATCGGTTTTACATCATATCGGTTCCACGACAATTGGGTATCCAGAACGAAGCTGCGCTAGGGTTAACCCGGCAGCATCCCTCAAAATTATGTACCATCAAATATATGTTTAACAGTAATAACATTTTTGTTTTCTTGATTGTTTCTCATTGTATCCTTGCAAATTTCTTCTGTCACAGTTCAGAAGTTGTAACAGATAGATTAGACCTCTCTCTCTCTCTCCTACCTTCTCTTTCTCTCTTTCCTTCTATCTCTGTTGTTGTTGTTGTAGCGGCAGAATTATGCTGAGTTGACGGCCCTTAGCGACTGCGTGGGAAAGGTACCTTCTATCTCTCTTGTACCTACCCTCTCTCTATCTCTCTCCAAAAGTCGTCCTTCATATAATAGCGACTTTATTCTTCACGAGTTTCAAGTTCAAGTATTACGATTTTACTGCGTTGCTCAAAGAATGGCAAAACAGCCGCCACATTGCTATTTTAACCAACACTGTACATGTATAAATGCCTATATGTAAGTGCAATCGTTATTATTTCGCCGTTTATTCTCATTTGCTCCTTGTCTATGCTTTCTGTCCGTCTGTCTGTCTGTCCGTCTGTCTGTCTGTCTAGCTTGTTTACTGGCCATCCTAGTGCTGTTTGGTGGTTGCTGAAGTTCGTTGCAGTTACAAGTTCTTGCCATTATTACCGTTTTCCAGCTCTTAAGATAAAGATATCCATCCACGTTCAACGCTGTGCCTTCACTACTTGCCACGTTCTGCCTTTGTTTTGACCATTCTCTTGTCTCTTTATCTGTTTCTCCATATATGTTTGTGTGTGTGTGTGTGCCTCAACTGCTTACTCTTGCCGCCCTGGCACGGTCGTGGTTATCTGCATGTTGGTCATACGCCATTTAACAATTGCCTGTTTGCCAGTCCTCCAGTCTTTCTGCTTGCTAGCCTGCCATTTTCCGATGTCAAGAAACCATTTCAAGGATTCTCGCGCTGTTGTTTTAAATGAAATTAAAATGATGACACGATTTAAAGGTTTTTTCAACACAGAATATCTGTGTGTGTGTGTGTTTCTTGAAAGCTACGTTCGTCCACTTGCCATACTAATTTGGTGGTTTATAAAATGTAAGTGGCTGTTCATTGATCTGGTGCTGTTGTTTTTATTGTTGTTATGGTTTCGTTGGGTTTTTGCTTTTGTTTCAGCATTTACTATACGCTCGTTGTCTGCTGTCAGTTGATCAGCTACTGATGATGCGGTACGAGGTGTGTTCAAAAATAATCGCGAATT